CATTAGCACCTCTAGTAATATATTTACTGAGAAAAATGGTGACGTGTTCAATACTTATTTTACCCACTGTAAATGGGCAGGTTTGGAGAACTGAATCTAGGCCTAGTGCTGCGTTGTACTGCTGACTGAGTAAAGAACTGGCAGCAAGTTGGTTAAAAGTGGGCATCAGGTCTTTGTAGGGAGTCCAGTGTGGGTGGTATGGCACAGATGAGCCCATGAAGGACTGAAATCAGAAAAATTCAAACCTCATTTCATTAAACTAGTGATGCATTTGGAATTAAAAAAAGGAAACAAGAGCTCATACCTGATCAGCTGCAGGGTAACGAGGCAGTCCATGGGGTTTGGGAGGTTCAGACACAGTAAGTMACCTCTGAAGATAATATCTTTGGTGTGGCACTGGTCTGCCTGTWTGCCGGTCTTTTGTACCATAAGATTTCACTATGAGAGAAGAGGAAGACATCCAGCAATGTCATTAACTTTAGACAATAAATGAAGTCCAGCGTACTGAATCAAACTATAACTTACATAAAGAGCTGAGTCTTGAATGTAAAAACTGAACAAACAGGCTACACAGTGGCGACTTTACTTAAAGCAACAGCTCTTTTTATGGCATCATCATCCTGAGACAATATCAACTGCTAATGACACTAACACTGTGAATTCAACGCTGCCAACTCTGCCCTACAAGACACGAAGCTTGCAGCTGTGGCTGGTGTCCACGTTGCACTTCAAACTGTTGGACCACATCCAGACTGCCTACCACACATATTGTTTTCAATGAACATATTTTGAAATTAAATTTGAAACGCCGTCTTCGGCAGTGTTAGCAGTGTTGTATGTAGAGTRCAGTGAAGAGTTGTSAGTGACTCTCAGCTGACTGTGGCAGCCATCTTGAATTGGATTGACTCCAGAAGTGAGTTAGTTGTTGATGTACGTGCAGTGAGTATTTCATGAAAGTTTCAATTAAATCTCTCTAGTGATTCATGAAGTATTTGCAGAGTTGTAAAATAAATAAGTACAAATACTTCTTTACTGTGCGTAAGTAGAATTTTTGGGTATCTGTACTTTACTTGAGTAATTATTTTTCAGCCTACTTTTTACTTCTACTTCTTACATTTTCACACAATTATCTGTATTTTCTACTCACTACATTTTTTAAAAAGACAAGAAGTAGAAAGTTGTTACTTTTATTTCATTTTTGCTTGTTTTCATTCCAGCTTGTTATTGTAAAAAAATTAATACTATCCATATAAATTGTGCCTAGATAGAGTGAATTTAACAATGGTTGAATGAGAAGTTTAATACATAAAATTTTGATATTACTTTGTACACAAACAAATCATGTTACACTCCAGCAGGACATAATCATTAAAATAAAAGGACTGTAC